GCTTGCTTCTGTGTTGAGAACCGTTGCTAGGAGACGACTAATGAAAACTGAGAATCCTAGTGCGTGTATAATGGTGAACTGCAAATTATGCAAATCAACGATAGTGCTGTATTAATTGTAATTAAGAGAGATTGTAAGCGCAGTGCCATTAAATCCAATCATCCGAAGTAGAACCCGTTACTTTCGTCACGCGTGGCAATACATATTAGAACAAACCATGAGATAAATTATCACAATTTCTGTAGATCTGATTTCTTTTAAATAAGAGGGAGTAGGACCACATAAGGAAACATTTTCGCCTGTCATTAGCCTCACTGCCCGATAAAGTACGCACTCTTCATCGATCTTGGCAACACGGCTGTAGTCGAAGTTTGGGGTTTCTCCTGGCGTGAGTGGAATTGTCTGTCTGTGAATTCTAGCAAACGTATGAATCATCTTGGGGTAAAGGCTGGCCGATGCGTGAGTCTGACAACGTCACCGCTATCTCTGAGCCAATTGTCTAGAAAATGTGGGAGCCTCGACGTCTCACAACCCTATGGACCTCCACGGCCTGTTACAGGGATAGCATTATTCATTTTTTTATTTAAATTGCCTGTAAGTTTACCCCCTTTTATGACAGGAAATGCATGAAGTAATGTGTAAACAAATCGATTTGGATTCTATTCAGGAAACAGAAACTTTAACTTCTTGTTTGTTTCCTTCCTAGACCTGACAACTTCAGCAGTTATATCTGTCCCGTGTAATTGTTAGTTTCCGATATATTGCTAGTGGGGTGGGACTAAGTCCCTTGTACTGCGGCCATTTCTGGCCTATTGTACCAGCCCCAGATGATAGGTGAGGGTAATTGTGGAGCAATTGGTGGAGTGAAGATTGGGAGGAGAAACCGAAGTACTCGGAGAAAACCTGCCTCAGAGCCACTTTGTCCACCACAAATCCCACTTGACCAGACCCGGAATGGAACCCGGGCCGCCGCGGTGGGAAGCCAGCCACTAACCGCTTGAACTATGGCGCGGCACTAATTTCCGATATAGGTATAGAGCTTGAGAGCCTAAGGAACTTATGAACTATACGTGCACTAGCTCGAGCATAGGGCAGTATATTTCTCCCTAAATACTGCTTCTTAGGAAAGGGAAATTGCCTTACTTTCGGGTCCTTAAGAATCAATAAAAATAAATTAATTTTCTTACAACCCTCAGAACTTGAAAATAACAATCGCCCTTGTTAAGAAAGAGCATCTCTATTTTATTTACGCATAAGAGTAACAGAGGATCCCATTATATGAGAGCTTATACGATCTATATACTATATAATTCTTTAATTTTCGCAGATATGGCTAGGAACTGTAAATCCTCGAGTCACGTGACGAGTGTTCCGCGAGTCGCAAGAGCTCAGCCTGTCGAGGTCCAAACCAACGCCTCTTAATACGCTCCTATGTTCTTGAAACTTTGCAGCGGGTCTTCCAGATGAATTTCCATTTGTTTAGTTGTTCTTTAGTGTGCAGGAGTGGCATGGCGGCGGTTTTATGTGGCATAATTTGTATGCTGACTGACCAAGCAACCAACTAATTAACTAACTAACTAACTAACTCTCACTCCGTTAAACTGAGACCATGAAAAACCAACGGTCGATAAGCTGCTTAAGAATTTCTCAACATTATCGAAAATTGAAAATTAATTACTTTGTTCACAAGAGCCCACCAGTTTCCTTTGTCCTGAGCCAGATTAATCCAGTCCATATAACTCCATCATATTTCTCTAAGATTCGTTTTATTATTAATCTTTCACTTAGGTCTAGGTGTTCCTAGTGGTCTCATTCGGGTAATGCTTGCCACCGTTCAGCCCGGATGCTTTTGTCTTCTCCTATGTTGTCTAAGGACCTAACAATTAGAATGTACGAAACTGTAATTTTATCTGTGGTTCTCTCTGACATTAAGGGAGGAACATAGACTGAGGGTGTTTGAGAACAGGTTGTTGAGGAAAATATTTGGACCGAAGAGAGATGAAGTGACAAGACGTTGGAGAAAACTGCATAATGAGGACCTTCATAACTTGTACACTTCTACAAGTACAATTAGAATGATCTAGTCAAGGAGGATGAGGTGGGCAGGGCATGTAGCACGGATGGGTGAAAAATGAGTGCATATAGCATATTGGTGGGAGAGCTAGAAGGAAACAGACCACTAGGAAGACCAAGACGTGGGTGGGTGGATAATATTGAAATGGATCTTAGAGAATTAGGATGGGATGGTATGGACTAGTCACTAGATTGTTCTGCCACAGAATAGGGAACAAAAGGGGGCTTTTGTGAATACGATAATGATCCTTCGGGTTTCATAAATTTTTGGAAAATTCTTTACTAACTCACCAACTTTTTTCTCCTTTAGAAGGGCTCAGCTCCATGTAATTAGTTAGTTAGTTAGTTAGTTAGTTAGTTAGTTAGTGGTCTCTTTCCCTAGGATTCCCACTGATACTCTATGTGTTTTCCTATTTTCCCATGCCTTCTACATGCTCTACCTATCTCATCCTCCTTGACGTCATCATTCTAACTATATTTAGCGAAGAGTACAAGTTATGAAGCTCCTCATTATGTAACTTTCTATGCTAATTTTGTGCTCAAACGTAAACGTAATTTGTAATATGCTTAATTAAATAAGAGCTAAGTCATAAATGGTCTATACTGGAGTGGGGGGAGAGCTTCAGCCTCTTGTAACCCTCAGCTCTGGAAGGAAATGGGTGGTTAGGTGCGCTCGACGGCCGCTTTTCCCTCGGATAGAGAGCTCCCGGGCCCAATTGAACATGAGTTTGGATGAACCACAAACCAGCCTGAGTACAGTAATGAAGACCTCTCCGCTCCTACCAGGAACGGAGTCACAAGTCTCAATTTGTCCGTTCCGTAACCTAGTCACTAAATCACCTGAGCTACACAAAACTATATCTGTGATCTGGCAAATGAAATGTTGTCGGTTACTATGTTACCAATGAATACAACTGGATTATGTGATAATTAATTTGTAGAATTTGCTAATGTGACTATGTAGATTAAAGTTAAAAAATAAACTTAACTCTTTTTCTCTGTAAGAAGCCAAATGTGAGGTCAGAAGTGAACCTCCACCTTCAACACCGAGGTTATATTAATGTGCTGCCTAGTCTGGGCTATTACATACCTCAGACAAAACAAAAACAAAATACTCCGTGGCCTGTAGTCCTCAAGCGAACTATACCGACCGAGCGACCGCCGCTTGTCGGCTTTTGCGGATAGCGGGTGCCACGTGGTCAGCGCAGTGGATCTCCACGGCCGTTAATCTCGGGTTTCTAGACCGGAGCCGCTATTTCCTTGAAATAGCTTTTAAATTATCCTCACGAGGCTGAGTGGACCCCGTTTTAGGCCTACTGCTTATAGAAATAATCTGGTAGCTCCGGGAATCGAACCCGGGGCCTCTGGATCTGTAGCTAGGAACTCTGACCACTAGACCACATGGGCGGTCATTACATATCTCAGGGGACAGTAATATATGATTATGTAGAAATGGTGAATGGTGATTAGCAGGGGTAAACCGAAGGAACTCTGAGAAATGCCTGTTGCATGGATACTTCTTGCAGAACGCATCTCACATGAACTCACCCCGACTTGAATCCGAACCTCTGGATAAGAATACAGCTCCTAACATCCTGAGCTATCATTATGTTCGTCCCAGAAGCCTTGATATTTCAGAGACAGCTGCGCAGGGAGCCTTCCTTCTGGCCAGACTTCACTGGCTCAATATTCCTGCAGCAAGTAGCGACAGGCCGTTGCTTCTAAATTGACGTTTGTGATCAGAAGCTCCTGCCAGTGGCCATTCCAAGTTGAGAAAGTTTTAAGAGTGTACTCAATTTCGTGATCTACTCGAAGAAGCGAACTTTTTATATTCTAACTATACGTAAAATCGCTTTGAACGTATCGGCCAAAAAAGGTAAAGAAAAAGAAGGTCTACTTCTGAATTACTCTTCAACATATAACCAGGAAATTGGTTATAACTACGAAATAAAGTTAAGTGGATCGTCAATCTTGATGTGTATCAAAAGAAAGAGAACTCCTAATGCAGACAGATCACAAGCAGAAGCGCTATTTGAACTCTTTAAGATCTGGAGTATAATTATACTTCATAAACCTCTTTGCAGAGTTTAGACTCTCGTATTTCTCTACAGAACTGGTCTTCTTCAGTAACATACATTTTCCCCTACAAATGAGTTTATCAAACAAAGAGGTATAAAAGTTCTCTAGACATTATGACATGCCGATGGGCCTCCTCATCTTGCGTACATTTCAAGCTTCCGAACGGCATTTTTAATGGCACAATCACCGAAACCTAAGTCTGGATTATTAGAACATTTCCCATTTTATATTTGTCGAGAACTTCAATCCTTACGAACACAGTAAAAAAGGTAAAGTTGTTAATATACTTAACTAATTAAGCACTACGCCATGAAGGCGTATGGGGGAGTCATTTTTTTGACCTCGGCACTAGTTTGAGGTGAGTGTTCAGCTCCACTACCCGGCCGCTTTACCCCCGGGGAAAGAGCCCTGGTACCCAATGGATAAGAGGTTGGGTGGACACAAACCCGGTCTGGACGACGTGGAGAAGAGAAAATTCTTGACCCTACCGGAACACGAACTCCGGCCCCACTGTCGTCCAGCCCGTAGCAAGTCGCTATACCGACTGAGCTATCCCGGCTCCTTACGAACACAATGGTTACTATAATCACACCTTGTACTGAAGATCAAGCATTTTGCTACAGAATGTGTTCACGACTGTCACATGATTCTCAGAATAAACGGGGAGCAATTCCCTAAGTCGCGTTACCCGGTAGGTCTTTGAAATCTAGACGTCCCTGGTAGTGCCTTAGCAGTCTGTTGCAGTTGGTATTAACATTTATTTTCAGTTGTTTACCGTCCAACACGCAACAGTATCAATATATAACATTCAATTCTTTTAACATTACCCACTTCATTATATGTTTCAGCCTAATCGGCCATCATCAAGTGCCTTGAAATTCGGGGGTCACGAACATGGACTGCAGCTCAGCAGACACTGCTTTCAGGACACATGTTGACTGGGACGTTTTTGTTGATTTATGTGAGTACTATACCACATTAAACATTATATCCTCCTTTCTTTACACCCTGTAGATTTCGCATATGTTACTGCTGCATATCTCAAGAATATAGAGTGTATTTTTTGCACATTTTAGATAGGAAATGAATCATAAAATTTTCACGAGGTTGCGTAATTGGTTGAGGTATTATGCTACAAGCCGAAATATCGTAGGGTCGATTCCCGATGAGGTCATTGTATTTTTTCGTTGATCTAATCCTTCCAGCCTCACTATGTCCCTGGGATCGACTCAGCCTCCAACAGAAATGAGTACCAAACATTTTTCTGCGGGTAAATGGCGGCCGGCGCGTAAGGCTGACAAACTTACCAACATCTGTGAGCCGAATGTCTGGAAAATGTGGGAGCCTCGATGTCTCACAATCATATGGACCTCCACGGCCTGTTACAGGGATAGGTTTTATGGATTATGCACCACCAACTTCCATGACCGTTTCTTGGATTCTAATCGAAATTTTCAATTTCTTCCAGAGCCACAGTATTATACAATGTAAGATCTACTTCTAATATTTCAGTGAATATCAACATAGCAGAATTATCTACAGAATGGTTCATATTCGATGATCTAAAGGCCTTCCTCTTGAAGCTAGTGCTGTATAGGAATATTCCAGCTTTGTGGGAGCCATTCTTTTGCACTTCCAGTGCTTGTATGAGTGTGCGTGCGTGCGCGCGCGTACGTTTGCTGTTTCTCTGTCTATCTTCCGTCTGTAATGTGCAGCTCCTTTGATCTTCCATCTCCTCTCTCTTCCATCTAACGCATTTAACGAGAATTGCGGGCGACTGGGATATTTAGAAGAGCACAGCCACAAAATGGCAGCAGGCTGAGGGTGCACTTGAGATGCTGCCAAGTACAGTCACGGCATAACAGAAACGGCGACCAAGCATATATGTATTCGTGAGCGTCATTAGCTTGCAAACAGATATAGTCAGTTATTTGGCGGTTTACCGTCAATCAATTCGTCTTTGCTACAAGTCCCTTGAGACCCACGACCGCAATTTTTATTATACAACCGAACACTTGCAGCTATAGTCCTTATGGAACATCCTGTCTGACGGTAGGATGGGTCTGTAGTTTAAAATTGTTGATGGGCCTCTTCAGCGCAGTCATTCTCAGGTTCGAGTCCCGTGGGACTCATGACCACATTTTCTTATCTCAGATTCGAGTCTCCACCAACGTGTAGGGCCAGGTCCCCGTATTTATATCTCCCAGGAACAGGGGATCCAAAATAAAACAACCCCTCTAACATTTTTTCTATTTTTGTGATGGGCGGTTGCCTAGCGAAAGTCCGGATATCGTTGGCGTGTTTACCGGGCGCTACCGAGCAACACATATTTTTTCTCTCGATCGTTGCATAGCAACGGTACTACATGCTACAATATGAAATTTTCCCTTGTGTGGAGTCGGGTTAGAATATATTCACTGTAGCCCTGTGTGACGTAGGAGGAGAAGAAAATTGAACCCGGTGCCTGGGGGTATAACTGGGCCACCCTGTTCCTGGGGGATGTAAATATAGATACTTAACCCTCCATGTTGGGGGTTGGACCTAAGGCTGACTGCCTTGCTCTGAAAAACATTTACTGTTGCGAAATCCAAAGAATTGAAAACCGGACTGTGTAGCAGTAGCTATGGGTCGAAAAGGGCTGTTCTGCCAGTGATTATGGCGGAGCAGAGTAGCCTATCCAAATCCCGAAAGTTATCTCTGAATTCATAACAAAATTTGGAGCAATTTTCTCTTGAAGTGTACTTACGTTCTTCCTGTCAAGTAGTTGTTAAGCTGGAGATCATAGTGGGGAAAAATTGTCTCTGAGAAACAACTTTCTTTTGGCGTTCTTCTACCGTTACAGCGAGAGGAGTGAGGGTCGAATTATTACCGATAGTGAAAAAGAGCGGGCTCAAAACGTAATATGCACAGAACTAAGGTAATTTCCCTAGATACGTAAGGAAATTAGTTCTGACAGAACGCCCTTAAGCTCCTCTCCCTCAGAGTTCTGTAAATATATAATTTCCTTAAATTAAAAACAGAAAGTAATTTTGAATGCTGATATCATATTCAATTCTTTTCTTGTTCCCTTCAGTCGGTATTTTTTTAATCAAGAAAAATATTACTGATTATTTTATAATATGGTTATGAACGTGTGTGGTTTACTAAGAGAAATGTTTAGGTATTTTTTACGTCCCTCATTATTTGAAGTTACTGGTTCATGAAGTAATTAAGGAGAATTAGGCTCTATATCAACTGGAATATGTTAGAGTCAAATTATGGTGAACGTATTACAATTCAATTGGAAGATCCACAAACCTATGTAAATATGTATACATGTATGAACGTACGTATATGTGTGAGCATGTACATATATACAGTATATGTCAAATAAGGTTCTGATCACTATAGATATTTATAGTATCTATATATATGTAGTATCGCTACATGTTTCAGCCCAACTTTCCCGTTGCTAGGCAATAGATTTTTAATAATACAACATATGGACTACAACAATGGAAACGGGGTGTATTCTACGTGTTCCTTGTCGAGATATAAGTAAGCAACAGGATTAAGTCAGGACCTAGTACCTGGAGGTGTAGCTGGACCACCCCGTTTCTGGCGAATATGAATGCGGTCATTCGTGAACTGTTCTCGGCTCAGGAGAATGGTAAAGTGACAGAATATCGAGAACAAGGGACTATACAATCGTGTTTCTTAAAATGAGACTGATTGCTTGACAGATTGTGCAACTGTCTCTCAGAAACGACTCTACAACAAGATTTAGTTTAAGAATTGTGTAATGTTGATAGGTATTGCCGATCTGATCTGTCTCGTGATATTTTCATACGATACATTCAGTATTTAGACTAAACAGGATCGAACGGTCTAATAATTAATGAACAGTTTATTTGAAGGAATCTGGGGGAAGCGATCATTGCCTACTGATATGTTGGGTTTTTGGACTTTATCCATCGTCCTGGTTTTTAAGGTAACAAAATAAAAACACGACGTTTCCGAAACGTCGTGTTTTTATTTTGTTATCTTAAAAACCAGGACGATGGATAAAGTCCAAAAACCCAACATATCAGTGTGTTATACACCATCGTCAGAATCCTATAGTAACTACGATCATTGCCTAGTTTATATACTATCCCAGCATTTGCTTGAAGAGGCTGAATAAAACTACGAGAATCATCGGTTAGGATTGCTGGTGTGTAACCGCGCACCTCTGGAATAGTCATCTAGCTCGAAACGTCTAGACAGGTCTCTGTGACCTCTTCATGTGATGACTCAAATCTCTGAAGAGCGGGTATAGATATATGTTACATATTTCCCTTTCGTAAATATATATGTGACTCATGCATACGTAAGTGTCTCTCTGAGCTTAGTGATCGGGATTCGAACTGAAGAAGCTGCCCGAGGCATACACAGAAGATAGAAGAATTACAGTGACAGCTGAAGACACTAATGTACTACCTCTAAATTCCGTGCAGAAGTAAGCAAACATCAAGCAGAAACAAGACTAACTCTCATGATAACAGCTTAAACGACATAATAAAACCAAGCCAAACTCTGTGGGCTGTAATCCGGAAACGATCTATACCGACCGAGCGACCGCCGCTTGTCGGCGAAGTTAGTGCCAACTTCTGCGGATAGAGGGTGTCACGTGGTCCGCGCAACGGGTCCCCACGGCCGTAAATCTCGGTTTTCTAGACCGGAGCCGCTATTTCCTTGAAATAGCTCCTCAATTATCCTCACGAGGCTGAGTGGAAACCGTTCCAGACCCACTACTTCTCAGAAAATCTGGTATCGCCGGGAATGGAACCCGGACCTGTGGATCTGTAGGCAGGAAATCTGACCATTGGGCCACGGAGGCGGTTCTAGAGACATAATATTCTCCTTAATGTAGCTAAATGTGTTTTATATGAGACATTATGTCCGATAGATACTAAAAGGTTCTGACGATGGTGTATAACACTCAGAGTCAATGGGTTTTTGGACTTTGTCCATCGTCCGGTATTCTAGAAACTACACAACGTTTCGGAAATTGGATCTGTCCAGTGATTGAGGTTAGCCCTTTCTAAGGGACCCAAAATAGTAGGTGTCTTCCACTCACCCCTCATCTGAGGACGGAAACAGATCAAGTTTGCGAAACGTTGTGTTTTAGTAGTTTCTAGAATACCGGACTATGGACAAAGTCAGAGAACCCAGAAGTTCTGAGATCTATATCCGGTGTTGAGACCTTGTCTTTTTTAATACAAGAGAATCTTATCATGTCAGTATTACCCTCACTTACCCTATTTCAACACGCAATCTTCTGTCGTGTTTCTTCTCACTTTATGAAACAAAATCGGGCATGCAGTGTAATCTTCTTAGTTGTTCTCCGTCCCGCTCTGCAAACCGTTTTATTCATCGTCCGTCGAACTCTTAAAAGCAAACGATTCTCTTTGATATTTTGTTATTGCTTATTACACCCCGTCCCGAGTTAAGCTTATCACATTATGCCATACAGTGGAATGCTCCAAAGAACTTCAATATTGAACGTTCGTTACAATATTTTCTCCTGAATGACCATATAAATTCAGCTTGAAGAAAGGAGACAGCATTTATGTCGTTCTCTTTCGTATTGTCCTTAGCAAAGGACATCTTTACTAATCGATATTACTTCAGTAACACTGTGTTTATGATACTGCAAAGCGATCGCAGCTATGCCAAAACATATGACGAACAAAGCTGTCTGAACACGAAGGTTCAGTGCCGAAAAGATTGCTGTTGGACACGACCCTAATTAGGGCAGCCGCACATCAACTGCGTCAAGACAAGCATCAAGACATGAGACAAAAGATGCAATCTTGCTTCATTCGTGATTCGTCAGCATCAGGACTCAGACCGGTGTGCGGCGATTTTCCTAATCTCATTCGTTTCAACTGTGCTCCTTTCTTTGTGTCATGTCGCAGACTTCGTGTCTTGACT